GGGACAGCCACCCGCCCTCCTGGGGAGAATACAGTGAGATGGGAAAGGGGGCGTCCCAGTAGGAAGTGGGAGATTCAGAGCTGCCAGGAGTGCTTTACGGGGTTGAAGCACCGGGTTACTGTAAGTCATGGAGACAGAGAAGCCAAGAGACAGAAATGAAGGTTCCGAGGCTGCTGGGGATGGAGAGAAAGGGAGCTGGGATCCCAGGAGACAGAGGGGAATGGAGGCCTTAAGGCACAGGAGATAGGTGTGGGCTCCCCTGAGGAAATGCATGAGGGGCCCAGGGAACTGGGTCTGGACAAGAAGGCTCTGGAATCCTGACAAGGCTAGGAGTGTGTGGGGCAGAGGTGGTGCCTGACCCCCAGCCACCATGAGTGTCTTCAATGCCGCCCCCACCCCACTGGGTGTCCTCCGGGGCTTTCAGGTCAGCGATGGCACCTCCTTCCATGACCCCAGCAGCCAGAGACCACAGCCCAGAACTCACTGTCCAGGCTGCCACAGTAGACTCCCTCCTTCCTGGAAGCACCCAACACCCTTGCCATGGTTTAGAAAGACACAGGGCCCTAAAAAGACCCATCCATGAAACAATCAGGCTACCTCACTCAGGCCAGTATCTGGAGATCCCAGCTTCTCCTGCTATCTTTGGCGCCTGAGCTGTCAGCTCCAGCTCAGAAACCAGAACGACCTGTTTTCAGGCCTTCCATATGTACCTCTTGGGGCTCAGCTTCCCCATCTGTAGAGTGGGGAAGACACCGACTGGCCAGCCCTGTGTTGTTGTAATGAGGGCACGTCGGAGCATGGTACTACTGGCTGATGGCAAAGCTGACAGGCATCGGTGAGGCCCATGCTCCTGATCACCTCATTCCCAAACCGTTTTCACTTCTCCTTGGCACATTGGAGCTTATCCTAGATGCCAGTGCCCTGGCCCTTCTCCTAAAAGGGCCATCCTCACGCTGCAGGCCTCAGACATGCTGCAGGCCCCACATCTGCAGTGGGGACGGCAGAGGAAGCCATTCTCCCATTCCCAATGGAAGTGCGTCCCAACCCCAGGTGTGCTCAGCCAAAGATGGGGACCCAGGTGTAACAGGGCAGTGAGAGTCCATCCAATGGCAAACGAATGGACAGAGCCCGGTGTGTTCTCTCTGGAGCCCTGCCAAGTTTGCAGCCTGAAAGGCAGCAGGAGGCTTCCTGGGAAGGCACCCTCATAGGCACACTTCATTCATTTAAGCCTCCCAAGATGAGAACTACTACTGGCCCCATTTTACAGATGAGCAAACTGAGGCTCCGAGATGTTTACTAACTCACCTCAAGTGACATGGAGATGGGATTCTGATCCAGTACATGCCATTCCCACACTGTCTGACATGAGGAGGAACACGGGTTTCTGGGACCCGCCAAGAAATGGCAGGCTATTGAGAGACCATGGTTACAGAAACAAAGATCTAAAATGACAGGGAGTATAGTAAGGATCCTCAGGAACCACGAGAAGCTAGTCCTGGATGGGGTCTGTGGTCATCTTGCTCCTTCCACCATGTCCCCCAAGGCAGCTATACTCAGCAAACACTATTTCCTTCCGCTCTCCTGCCCGCCCACTTGGCCTCCTTTCTCCCTAGTATCACAGGCACAACCACTCTTGAGGAGACTCTAAATGTGGCCTGGGCAGCAGGGAGGCCAAAGGGAGGGGTCAGAGAGGCCTGGGCTGGCATCCCAGCCCCCACCTGGACACCCACAGGGCCAGGGCCTGGGACACTGACCTGCTTGGACTCCCCAGCACTTCTCCGCTCATTCTGAGGCACAGAGTCAGATCCCAAGAAGAGTCACAGAGGTGAGGGTTCTCCTGGAGAAATTTGTGTATTTTGTTTAAAAAAGCAAGCAAACCTGGAAAAGCTTGGGACAAGCCCAGCTAATTTTAGTTTCTAGTGAAAACAGCAGGTGGCCGAGAGGATCTGATCTCCCTGGCAGAGTCAGGGCCCTCCGGCCTTGCAGGCTGCAGGCACAGGCTGAGCAGGGAGGGCCTCTTGGGAGGGGCCTGAAGGACCTGCAGCCCCCATTTGAGACCAGGGCAAGAGTGAGCGGGCTGGCTGCACAGCAGGGGTGGCCTGGGCTGGCAGGGTAACCTGATCAATGACACGGCCATGGCTGGAGTCCTGAGTGGCCAGGGCAGCAGGTGACAAATTGCTAAACCTGTACTCGGCAGCACCCAGAAGCTTAAAGTGGGGCAGTACAAGCAACCAGAATGAGAGAAGATGAAGCCGTGGCTGGGGTCCCCACAAGAACTCAGATCAGCAACAATGACACCCAGCAAGCCCTGGCTTTGTGTCCCCCAGAAATGGCCTTGCAGTCAGTATCTGAGCTCAGCCCAGCTCTAGAGGCAGCAAGAGCCACACGTCTCTGAGGGAGAAGTTGAGCCACCATGGAGGTGGGCAGAGCTCCCAAAGTCCTCAGGACCAGTTAGGTCCAGTCCTCAGCAGCCCCCATCTTTCTCCCTCACCCCTGCTCTTCCTTGCCAGTAGGTGAGCAAAGGGGACCCTATCAGGACAAAGCCTTCCAGCCATGAGCCATGCTGAAATATTTTTCCTTTTTTTTTTTTTTTTTTTTGGGAAATTAAACTCCATCACACTAGTCCTTTTTATTATTTCATTTGAGACAGGCTTTTGCCAAGTTGCCCAGCCAGGACTCAAACTTGCAATCCTCCTGTCTCAGCTTCCCAAGTGCTGCAATTACAGGCATACCTGCAGGCATTTACTGAACACCTTCTCTGCACTGTATGCTGCATGAGGCCTGATGTGTTACACAGTGAGATGCCAGCCCCCGGCCATCTAGCAGGGCAGATCCACAGCGGAGTACAGGGGAAAGAGGGCTAAGACAAACCGCTTGCTGCTTACTGACAGGCTCTGCCACTTTGCAACTCCTTTGTTTCACCTCTGTGGTCTTCAGTCTGCTTGTCTATAAACTAGCACCAGATAGCAAGACAAGCCAACAGGAAGCCTGCTGCCCAGGGTCCTGACTCTCTAGCCTGTGCCTCAGCTCTGGCACTCACCTCACCTTCCACCTAAACAAACTCCTAGGATCGGGAGGAAGGGGAGCCTCCCATGCACAGAGGGGCAGCTGTTGTGCCAAGTGAAGGCAGGGGCTGGCCGGTGGGCATTGGTGCTACCGGAAGCAGTTTCTCGTTGTCTTCCTGGAAGCTGTCCCAGTGACTCACAGCCATGGCAGCCTAGCAGCTCCCTCTAAAACCTGCTGTTGTCGGTTCAGCCAGTTTCCCCACCAGGCTCCAGGCCTAGGGGAGGAGCATTTGGCACCTCCTCTCCCCTGGTTCAATGGTAAGGGCTCCATCTACTAGCCTTGCATAGGACCAGGAGGCCTGGACACCACCCGTATCTGCCAGCAGGAGGAGGACTACAGATTCCAAACACAGGAAAGGCCATGCAGACTTACCTACTTATTGTATACATAAAGAGACAGGCTCCCAGTGGGGAGAGGGCTTATCCCGGGGTCACAGTGGGCTGGGGACTCCGCCAGCCTCCCTAGCCTGCTCCTCCTCCCAGAGGACCCCCACCCTTGAATGCCTCCCTTCACCAGAGGCCAGAGCTCTCTGCATGGCCAGACCTAGCCCCCTTGGCTGGGCCACAGAGGGAACAGAGGCCTAGTTGGGGACAGGCCAGTTCTGTGTCCCCACATCATAGAGAATAAAGGGTCCCAACTTGTTCCAAAAGAAAAAGATCCAATGTGAGTCTCAGTTCCTTGTCCTCTCACCAAAGGATACCTATGGCCTCCCAAACACGGACCTGGCCCACTGCCAGTAGCTGAGCTCTTGGCGCCCCCTGCAGGCCAAGAAAAATTTGTGGGACTGGTTCTGTAGGAGACCCCTTCCCTAGTGGCTGAAGCAGGGGGCAGCCAGAGGGAGCTGAGGAGCCAGTCACCCCCACCCCCACCACCACCACTACCACCACCACCAGATCCTCCTCCCTCTTTGTCAACCCTGTCTCCCTCCCTAGGGCATTACCAGGCTCTGGCCAGGAGCTGATGGCTTCCCAGCTGACCATGTGGACAGGTCCAAAATTCAGATGCACACCAAGCCCCTCCTAAGGCGGGCCCAGGCACCTGCGCTTTCCATCCCCACAGATGTTTCCAATGCACGGCCAGATTTGAGACTCACCACTCTGTTCCAACCTCATGCCTGACCAATAGAACCTGGCTGCTGCCTGCACGCCTCCTGGTGTAGGGAGGCAGGTAACTAACCTTGGCTGACATTCCTAAGCTGAGTGAACCCAGTCCTGGGAACTTGTCCAAACTGTCAGTTCTAGTTCTTGAGTCACATAAAAGAAAACTGTCACAAGGCTGTGAAGTCAGCAAAACCAGGTTCAAATCCACTCTGCCTCTCACTGGCTATGTAAACTTGCACACACAGCAAATTACTTATCTGTGCCTCCGTTTCCTTCTCTTTAAAAAGGGGGTTCATAGGTTCACTGAAAGGATTTAAAGCAATAATATACTTAGCCCGGTCCCAAATGGGTCTTAATTTAGCAAACAAACAAACAGCCTTATTATCAATTTTCCTTTTTTTTTGTACCAGAGACCCAATCAATTTTCCATATTTTAATAGGGCTATTTTTTTTCCTTTTTTTTTGCTTTTTTTGAGACAGGGTCTCACTGTAGTTCAGACTGCTCTGGAACTCACTGAGTAGCCCAGGCTGGTCTCAAACTCACAGCGATCCTCCTGCCTCAGCCTCCAGAGTGCTGGGATTACAGGCATGCGCCACCACACCCAGCCTCTAAGTACTTTTTGACTTGCCCACCATTCATTTGTTCCTTCATTCAGTTGTGAGTTCCTGCCTCATTTTCTCAGGCTGTGTCAGACTTAACACAGATCCCAGACCCTGAACCGAGGGGACACAGGAAGGACCAGCAGCTGGGACAGGCAGCTCCCAGAGCCCCAGTGTGGAAAGAGGAGGGTGAGGCATTGGGCCTGATCTACATCACTTCTGCCCCACCCCCAGGTACCTGGCCAAGCTGTCCTCAGTGGGGAGCATCTCAGAGGAAGAGACCTGCGAGAAGCTCAAGGGCCTGATCCAGAGGCAGGTACAGATGTGCAAGAGGAACCTAGAGGTGATGGACTCAGTGCGCCGCGGTGCCCAGCTGGCCATTGAGGAGTGCCAATACCAGTTTAGGAACCGGCGCTGGAACTGCTCCACACTCGATTCCCTGCCTGTCTTTGGCAAGGTGGTGACTCAAGGTGAGGGGGTGTACAAGGGTGCAGAGTACCAGAGTGTGGGTCCTGGCCAGGGAATGACACCCTCATGAATGGCCAGAGTAGTTGAAGTCTAAAGCAGAAACAGTGTTGGGCCTATGTGAGGGGCAGGGGCACTGGATAGGATGACTGGGTGGAGGTAAATCTGGGACAGGGCCATCCAAGCAGGATCCTGCAGCCTACAGTGTGCTGTGGTTCCAGTGCTCATCTCAGCGGAGTGTGAGCAGGCACTGCACTCCTTGTTTTACGAGGAGAAAACTGAGGTTCAGGCAAGGGATGAGACAACTTCCTGGGGCTCCTCAGATCAGGGGAGAACAGATTCAGGCTTCAGACCCAGAGCTCCAACACTTACGCAGCCCAGTGTTCTTCCCACCTTAGCATCAGCCTTGGATACCTGAGCCCATTTCACTGATTTGCACATTGGACAAGCCCTGAGGAGCAGTTCCAACATGGCCAGCCCAAGACACAGCTTCTGTCCTAATAAAGGGCATAGACTGGTGGGGAGACAGGCACAACAGGAATAGTGGCTTACACACCTATGGCACCAACAATGGGCCAGACACTGTAAGTGTTGAAAGTAACAAACTCATTGGTCCTTTTGAGACTCTCACAGGCTTCCACATTACATATGAAGAAACTGAGGCACATAGAGGTTAAGTCATTTGCCCAAGATCAAAGAACTAGAAGGTGGCAGAGCCAGGACTTGAACCCAGGCATCATACTGCAGGGTCTGTATTCTTACTCATGATGCACAGGACAGGAAGTCGAACACCTTCCCTGCCTAGGACTGGAGTGTTCAGAGGGGGCTTTCCTAAGGAGGCAGGTCCTTCATTGAGACCAGAAATTCGAGGAGGGACTAAGCCAGAGAGAGGGACCAGGGCACAGAGAAGCTTCTATTGAACTGAGAGGTTCCTTGAGAAGCAACAAATCAAGCCCCATCTTTGAAGAAGTGCTCTAACCCAGCTGCCTTTCTATCTCCTGAGCATGAGGCTAATACTTCTGAGCAACTGATAAGTCGACAGGGCCCTTCCTCAGGCTGCAGGAATGACTTGCCTGGGCCAACCTTTGTCTTGGCACCTAAGGGCCTGAATAGCCAGGGCTGCTGGGCTCATGGCAAACCATTTGGATGTTGCTGGAAACCAACTGTGATAGGAATTTAGAAGCCATTCTCCTGGGAACTGGCAGAGGCCAAAAAGGCATGATCATGCTTGGCACTGCTGAATATCACTGCTCTCAAAAAGCAGATGAGACCCAGTGAGCAGCCTGGCAGCAGAGAATCTCCCAGGATGAAGGTGCCACTGCCCAGGACCCAGTGATACCAGGTTGGTGAGACCCAGGAGCCAGCCTCATATAAAGTAGACCTTGACCTTAGGAACTCCCTTGCCACAGTGGATATCCAAGGAATGTATTTTGGACAGACTGGTGAACAGATCCATAGGTTTCACATGCCACACCCGTCACACCCCTTCTTGACTAGTTCTCTCTGGGCTCTAAAGCTCTTTGTTTATACTTGGGTGTGTAGGGGGTCCTCCTTTTTTGTAATTTTCTAAATACCATTTCAATCTTACAGAAAAGTTGCAAAATAGTACAAGGAATTCCTGCGTACTAGTTATTAGATTTATCAACTGTTTATATTTAACCTATTTGCCTATCATATATATGTGTGTGTGTGTGTGTGTGTGTGTGTGTGTGTGTGTGTGTGTGCGCACATATTTTTGTCTAAAGCATCTGTGTTCCCACTGCTTTGATGCACCTTTCAGACTGAAGCATGATTATCTCCCAACCTGATTCCCTCTCCTCCATCACTGAGTCCTCACGTCACCCCAGGTGAGGGTGACAGCTCATTTACCTGTTTCCTGGCACACGGCCAAGCCTGGCATAACAGTCAGTAGATGTCATCTAATAATGGAAAGCAGATCAGAGACAGCGGCTTGAAGGGGCAAAGGTGAAGCATGTGTCAGTGCTGGCCGGAAGCCAGCAGAGGTCCTCAGGACCCCATCAGGAGTGTCCTCCTCACTTGTGAGCAGAAGTCTCAAAGGGACCTATCCCTGGTCTTGAACACAAGAACAGTACCAGGCCTGATAGAAGCTGCTCTGGACTAAAGCTCGGTCAAGCGACCAGTCCCCTTAGAGCTGAGATCAGGCTGGCCACAACAGGCAGATGTCAGTCACATTTGGGAGACAAGTCTCAGCTCTTCCACTCACCAAACACCGCCCTTTTGTACCGTTAGTTTTCTTCTATAAAAACATTCCTCTTAGAACCTTAAATGATCCCCACTGAGCAAGAACAAAAGGAATTTGTCTATCTCCAGACTGAAGCAAAGTGATGGTTCTCGGGAAACCCAGGGATTGACGAGGCAGAAAGCACGGGCAAGAAGACTGCAGGCAGGTGACTTCTCTTCTGAGCCTCAGGGTCCACACTTGTCACATACTTAGCTCATACAGCTGTCACCAAGGTTCAGTGACATTATGTGTGGGAATTCCTTCATATATGCCCTGGCCCAAGAGCCACCACCTGTCCTTACCAGTGGCAGTCATCTGCAGCAACCACATCTGGACAGGCCTGTCGTCATCCCCAACCCCCTAGGAGTAAGGATCCTGGCAGTTGGCAGCATACATGAGCAGCCTGGCTGGGGTCAGGGCCTCAGGCATGAAAGAAGCAGAGCTAAAAGAACCCACCCTGGATTAAAAAAAAAGGAACCCTCACTTGTTGAGGGCCTATGGTGTACTCTCTTGCGACAGCTCTGGGCTTGTGATGTGGTTACCATGTCACGGCTGAGGAGGGACTCTCAGGGAGCAGAGGGTGGTACTGCACCCAAGTCCTGGACCTGCCAGCTCTTGGCTATGAGATCTTGGGCAAGGTCCACACCCTCTATAAGCCCTCTATAAGCCTCTTTCCTATACAATGAGGACAAACCCAAACCAGCCTCCTAGGATTCCATGAGGATTCAGAGATGATGTCTCTGAAGGGCTGCCCAACTCCCACAGTGCTGAGGACGGAGGATGGGGTCTCCTATTGCCAGCACTGTCCAAAGTCTCACAGCCCTCAAAGCTCCCAAGCAGTGGCCACCCCTGCTCCTGGCCTACAGAGACAGGACAGATAGAGAATGATAAACGGTGAGGCCAGTATGTAATTTAGGGCCAAGCTATATGCTCCAGACTAAAAAAAAAACTACTTGATAAAGATGGTGTTCGTGGCAGCCAGGAAAGCAGAAATGTGACTGTCCTTGCCCTAGCAGACAGTAAGAACCAGATGAGGGATGTCCCGTGTCTTGTAGCACCTGCACACACTGGGTACCAGTGAGCACATGGTGCATGAATGGAAGGGTCTGAGAGTAGCAGGGAGGCAGTGGAACTCGACAAGAGTTGTGCTGGGTCTCAAGGTGGGCCAGCCTGAGCAGCATGGGTAGAGTAGGAAAGGTGACTCCTCTCATGCTTTCCTCCATCTGTACAATGCGAAGCCTTCTCCTGCCTCTAGCACATCTTGCAGTGACCGTGATCAAGTTCCAGCTCTCAAACAGCCCCAAGGTCCCCACAGACTCTGCCCACCATGGCAGGGAGGTAGTGTGATATATTGGCTGTAGCAAAAAAAGGTTCAAATCCAGGCTTACGTGTCTGCCTCATCTAGACCACCTCGTGACCATCACAGCAGGCTGGACTTAAGTAAATGCTTCTCAGTTTTAGGTGGAGCCTCACAAAAACCTATGCTCTCTTGCTTTTATCCTTAGTACTGCTATCAGGTTGGACACAGGGATGGGAGAACACTCTCCTTCCCAGAGACCTCTTTGGCCAACCTTCAGATGCCATCAGATAAATTTTAGCTCTACGGAAGGTGTACTCCAAAGACACTCCCAACTGGTAGTTCCTGCAGGCTACATAGGCCACACAAACACGAGACAAGTGGAAGACAAAAGCATCCATGGTCTGATTCTGACGGCATGAGGCAGACAGACCAGCTAGAGAGCCTGGAGTTCCAAGCAGACCACAACAGTGGGATGGGATACAAGGGACATATGAGGGCCTAGCCTGCTGAGCAGTGCTGTCTCCATGTTACATTGGGAAGTCAAGACTCAGAGAGGAATGTCACATCATAAATGAGCGATGGCTTTGTCTGGCCCCAAAGACTCTTTCCTCTATCCTACATTGTCTCTTAAATCCAGAGGCTTCTTCAAAGTGGTTTTTCTCAAAGACCAGAGCCTGTCTGTCCCCTCCCTCCTTGGACTTCCGCTGCCCAGGGCATCACCAGGCCCATGGCTTCCCTGCTGGCCCAACTCAATATCAGCCAGTTCTCCTCCAAATGTCCTGAATGTCCCTTTTTCCAGCATCTGGGCAGACACTAATGTACTCCACAGACCCCAAGTCTTGAGTCAGATGGGTCTCAGTTCCAGTTCCCACTCAGCCATTCCCAGCCGAGGGACCCAGGCAAGCCAATGAACTGCACATTTTCTTCAGAGTAGGGCTACAGTGCTGGTAACTCCCCACTGCTGCACTCCCATATCCCAATTCCTTTTCTACGTCTGAGCAGCCTCAGAGGAAAACAAACCCTGTTAGGTCTTTGAACACAGGACTTCAACCTGGTTCCCTGGGCAGAGATGAAGAAGTGTGAGGGGCCACAGCACTGGAGTCCAAAGGCTGAAGAAGCTACTGCCACAGGCTTCAGGGGCACAGCAGCATACCCATTCTCCAGGCCAACTGCTCACCACACCCTGGTGCAAACCCCACGAGAACTGGGCTTACACATCACATGAAATTTAGGGCAGACCTAAGAAAGCCCTCCCTGGCTTCATACACAGAAGGTACAAAGAGCTCGAGTACATGTGTATTCCCAGAACTCAAGGCCTCTGTGGGGCTCGACAGTGTCAAGGTGAAAGCTCTGGAGCCAGGCTGCCTGAGTTCAAATTCTGGCTTCACCCCCTGGCTGGGTATTACTGGACAAGGCACTACTCAGTGCCTGTTTCTACTTCTGTAAAAGGAGGGTTAAAAGAATCTACTTCCTAGCGTTGCTGTGAAGAGTATATAAAGTAATATAGGTGAAGTGCTTAGTGCACATGCTAAGTTCTCTATGACCTTTAGCTTTGTTATTACCTCGAAAGAGTCTCTTCCTTTAGGGCTACTCTCGAGCCTAGGATATGGTGTCCTTGCTCCTCTGAAGCCAGGGCAAAGGGGACTTGGAGTCCCAGTCAATGGATGCTTTGGAGAATGAGATACCCACCTCCCTGAACAACCTCACAGGGAGACCTGCACCCCAAGATCTACTAATACTTAGGAGCAGAGGTCTGCCCAGAGCTGGGGTTGGGTCAAGAGTTGCCCGAGAGCCAAAAGAAGCAGAAGAAGGACTACGAAAGACCAAGGGTTGAAACTGCTCACCAGTCCCATCATCCTCATTTCCTGCTGACTTCCCTTCCCCTCTGGTCTTTGGGGCAAAGATTTGTGCTGGTTCAGGACTGGAAATACCAGAAATACCAAAAATTGAAGTTGTCTCCCTTTGGGCAGCCACAGCACAAAACCAACCAACATGATCCTGCTATTAACCTTAATTAACTTGGAGGAGACTCCATCTTAGGCTGTTGAGGTCCTATTGCTCCAGCCAAGTCCTACTAATGCTGGCCCAAAATGCCCAAGCCAGAGCAGAGAGTGGGCAGTGGAGAGGGTGGTACCAGTACCCCTAGCTCAAGGGCTACACCAAGAACAAGCCGTCCTGAGTGGTCGGGGCTGAGTCGCCTCCCACCCAAGCATGCAGCTTCTCCTGTCTCTGTATACAGACCTAGGGACAGAGGAGGTGATTGTTGCTGTCTGACCACAGTGACTGCTCCCTGGGGCAGCTGGGAGTACAGACCTGGGTGTCATAGAGGTAATTGCCAACCACAAGGCCAAAGCCTGCCCAGCCACTCTTGTAGACACAGACCCTCTGGCCAGAGACAGAAGGACAGTCACAGCACACAGAGGCCCTCACAGGCCTAGAAGAGGAGCAGGGCCTGCCGTTTGGTTGCATACCCAACCAGCTGAGTGCACTCTGCTCACATACTACCCCACCTCACCCCCAGAAAGACACTTCACAGCAGCTACACCCCAGGCACAACTCCTAGGATAAAAACATCCATTCAGGCAGGGAGGGGGCTGGCACCAAAATAGACTGCAGAGCAGTCATGGGTAAAGGAGAGGCGGGCAGATCTTACTGGAGTTCTGGTTCTGGAGTCTTGGTTCTGCAGCCTCCTGGCTGTACCAACAGAACCCAACCTTTCCAACCCTCAAGTGAGATGGGTGCAGATAAAGGTGGTGGAGGTGAAGGGCACCCCAGTTATCAGTAAGAGGGGTTAAGTCCTGGAGCTGTTGGTATTATGGTTTAAAGTCAGATGGAAACATGAAATTTTGAGCAACAGGCCCAGCCTCAGAGGGAGGGCCAGGCAAGTCATGGGGGTACCCCTCAGAGCCCCAAGGAAGTAGCTAGGGAACAAGGCCTAAAAGAGAGCCAGACCTGAGGTTGCAGTCCAGGTCTGCAGTTGCACTACTCTGTAGCACTGGTAAATCAGCTCACCTCACTGAACTGTTCAATCTTCCATAAGACACTGTGACCATCACTCATCTTTAGGAGAGGTGGTGAGAACAGTTACCCATGGGAACTGACAGCACAGGGCCTAAGGCCAGGCTGTCTGCTGGCTCAGCCACCTGCACCATGACAAAACATCTCTAAAATGGGGTGACAGGGCTGCCTGGTGGGGCTGCTAGGAAGATAAGCTGTTCCACACCAATGGAGTGGCAGTGCTGAGGGCATACTGAGATCTGTTCCACTCTGTGACTGCCTCACTCCCTCTTTGCCTCCAACACTCAGCAGGCCCCTTGTGCCCCTACCTCTCCACAAAGGACCCAACCCTGCCCTCCCTCTGCCTCCCACAGGGACCCGGGAGGCGGCCTTTGTGTACGCCATCTCTTCAGCAGGTGTGGCCTTTGCAGTAACTCGGGCATGCAGCAGTGGGGAGCTGGAAAAGTGTGGCTGTGACCGGACAGTACATGGTGTCAGCCCTCAGGGTAAGAGCAGGAGTGGTCAGAGGGGAGGGCAGAGGCATGGGCCCCTGGCCCACACTCACTGTGGCCCTCTCTTTGCTTTCTGCACCTCAGGCTTCCAGTGGTCAGGATGCTCAGACAACATTGCCTATGGCGTAGCGTTCTCACAGTCATTTGTGGACGTGAGGGAGAGAAGCAAGGGTGCCTCATCCAGCCGGGCCCTCATGAACCTCCACAACAACGAGGCTGGAAGGAAGGTAGTATGCACCACCCCCAGCCCCGAGTACCAACCAAGGCAGGAGCAGCAGGCGGGGTCCCTGACACATTCCCTCCGAAGCAGCCCTCAGGAAGTGTCCTTCAGGCCCTCACCAGCACTGCATACCTCCATAGGTCACTGAGGTATAAACAGGGCAGGGTGGGGAGCAGGTATAACACAGCCAGCATATATAGTCCCATCCATCTAAGCATGTGTACATGTGTGTATACATCCAGCCCTTGTAATACATATACACTCCTAACAAGCAGCACAACTGGGATTTGACCCCTTCTATCACCTATAGGTCATGTGCTTAATGGTGACACCATCTGCCTTCTCAATGACTGCTCCTGTGAAGGTTCCTGTGAAGATTAAGTGCAGGCTTCCCCGCCCCGTCACAGCACCTCTCACCCTGCTGCCGAGAGAGAGCATCTTGTTCACCTGTTCCCCAGCCCTACTTACCAGCCCAGCAGTGTACTGCAGGGACTTAATACAGAGGAAACATGACATCGAGCCACTAGGGGCCCCTGCTCCACAGCTTCCACTGACCACCACTCTCCCCACCCTCCCCACAGGCCATCCTGTCACACATGCGGGTGGAGTGCAAGTGCCACGGGGTATCAGGCTCCTGTGAGGTAAAGACGTGCTGGCGAGCCGTGCCACCCTTCCGCCAGGTGGGCCACGCACTGAAGGAGAAGTTCGATGGTGCCACTGAGGTGGAGCCACGTCGAGTGGGCTCCTCCAGAGCACTGGTGCCACGCAATGCACAGTTTAAGCCGCATACGGACGAAGACTTAGTCTACTTGGAGCCCAGCCCAGATTTCTGTGAGCAGGACATACGCAGCGGCGTGCTGGGCACAAGGGGCCGCACATGCAACAAGACATCCAAGGCCATTGATGGCTGTGAGCTGCTGTGCTGTGGCCGCGGCTTCCACACGGCTCAGGTAGAGCTGGCTGAACGCTGCAGCTGCAAATTCCACTGGTGCTGCTTCGTCAAGTGCCGGCAATGCCAGCGGCTCGTAGAATTGCACACGTGCCGGTGACTGCACACAACCTATGCCCAGCAACCACCTAAGTGGCCCAGGGAAGGCCAGTAATTTAAAGTCTCCCACCACCTACCCCAAGAGATAGTGGTTGTATTTTTTATTTTGTTTTGGTTTTTGGGTCCTCATGTTATTTATTGCCAAAACTAGGCAGGCAACTCCAAGGGCACTAACTGGGGCCTCCCCAGAGCCTGAGCCTTTGTGGCCATCACTGACCAAAGGGCCCTTGCTCATGCCTCTGGCTGTTCACAAATGGTCATGGCTGACCACTCATTTGTGATCTGTGTCCATTTTTCTACTTTAAGACTTAATGTAACAATGAATGTTACAGCCACAGGGCTACTGATGCTGCCATCTGGGCAAACAGGGAACCTTATGGCAGGGACAGTAAGTACAATCTTGATGGAAATCACACTGCCTGAAAAAACGAGCACACACACTTCACCCCACACATACACAGGGCCCCATGGCAATTTGAGCCTGTAGCCTTGTCTCCCAAACTCTTGGAAAAGGAATGCGCAGTTACCAGGGCAAAGGCAAAGGGTTCATTTCAGCCCTCACATGGGCAGCTGGATGTTCAACCTGTGTGGGGGCCTTCCGCGTAGAAAGTGCAGGAGAAGTTCAAACAAGAGAAGGCTACAGTCCTGCCCCCTCTGGAAGGGAAACTCCCCACCTCTTAGATCATCTTAGGCAGGAGGTGCAGGCTGCCATCCTGGATCAGATCCTGCCATGGGCCTTTGCAGTCATGCCCCTGTGTGAGTCACCCCCACAGGGCTATCTGTCTTCATTGAAACTGAGAATGGAAATCTCACACACACCACAGGACAGGGCCATGCAATGAGAGTCTTTCCCATCATCTCACTTAAAAAAATTTATTCAGCAAATACTGAGTCCCAGGCCCTGCACTGAGGCATCTGCTGGTCCCTCTGCCACTCTTTCTTGGCCTCTGTATCCAAAAGCATAGACACTGCAGGTCTCCTTGGGTCTCATCTATGGGAAAGGGGCTCTGGCTGGGAAAAAAAGGGACACAGGAAAGAAGCAGAAGCCAGAGACCACAGGCTGGGCTGGTGCCATGTGGCAGCTGAGGGAGAACAGGCTCCAAGGCAGAGCCAAATGGCTGGAAGGCTGAATAGTGAAATCTCAGCGATTGAGACACTACATCCCAGGACCTCCAGGTACAAGTACTGCAAAAGGTTCCTCAAGAGACAACACTAGCAGATCAGGCCTGATCCTGTCCAGCAGCCAAAACAGGATCCCAGTTGACTTCCCTGAACATGACACACAAAGACTCAACTGCTTCTCTGCTGGGCTCCCAACCACCAGAGGAACTGTCAGCTTGGTCTCCAAGCTGCCCTACAATGCAGCTTTAGGTTCCAGGTCTGAAGGCTTGACCTCTGGGGGAATCCCCACTGGGGCTCTGAGACCCTAACCTTTTGGATCCTCGGTTCAGTGTCTGTGACTTCCCAGATTTAGCACTGGGGGGCTTAGGCCTGTGGAAACTCTCCTCTAGGTCCTGTGGTTTATGCCTTCTGGTATTGGCTCTGTCATGAAAAGGGTCAACACCTCTGGCCCCCAGCCAAGCTCTCTGCTCAATGTCCATCCAAGAGGGAGGCCAAAACCAAGTGAGATGCTGCAGCCACATTCAAATGTGGAGATAATCTTGGGACAGGCTGGCTCTGATGTGGCTGAAAGCTAAGATGAACAAGGGTCCCCACGGCTACCCAGCTGGGTCTGTTACTCCTCTAATGGTCTTGGTTCAGCTACCTGCTCCATGCCAGGAAAAACACTAACCCTCATTGACAAAGCTAGATCCAGACAAGTAAGCAGTGGAGACCACCCGCTCCAGAGGCAGAGTTAAGCCAGTCTCTCACTCAGGGGAGCAGTGGGTCTGGGCTACTTGTTGGTTTCATGGGTACTATCCCAGGAAACAGGGAGAAGGTGTGTGCCTACTCACAGACTTCACATCCCCACCTGCCAGGGAGCTCCTCAAAGCAGATCAATTGTTCTGGGGTTCTGAAGGTTGTGGCCTAGGTCAATCAGATCACATTCTAGGAACCAATGCTGAGGCCTACTGCCATAGCTAGCACTGCCAAGGCCAATGGAATTCACAGCCACAGGAAAAAGAAGCTACATGCCCAGCTGCAAACTGTCCTAAATTAAAAAAAAAAAAAAAAAAAAAAAAAAAAAA